GGAAAGGGGCCACGGGAAGCGAGGCCTGGGGTCCTGCAGACCCACCCACACACGGCCACGTGGCACGAAGGGAGCAAGGCGACAAGCGGGGACATCGCACCCTGCCCACCAGCATAGGGGTTTAGCACCTCATGGGCGCTTTGTCTGCCTGACCCGACACTGCCTGCGGTCCCCATCCTGCCTGAAATTGGCTCCGTGCCCCCCGCCAGGCTGCCCAGGGTAGAACCGCGGGGCAAAACACATGGCCTGGACAGGCAACAGGACATGGGGCCAGCGCAGGGAGGGTGGCACCGAGCAGGGGCTGATGCTTCCCTGTGGTTCCCATCCCACTCGGAGCCACATCCCGCTAGAGGGCATCAGGACATCGCCTGGGGCCAGTCCTGGGAATATTTAGCCAAGGGATGGGACTCGGGGAGACTCACAAAGAACCCCAAGAACAGCAGGGTGAGCACGTGTAAGCAAGCGCTTATCAAGCCTCTGGAACAACAAGTGGCTTCATTTGTAGCTGCAGACTAACACATATGCCATCTGGGATAAATATCAGAGCCAAGGACATGGATACGTGGGGCAGCACATTCCCATCGACACCACTGCTCCAGCAGGCGAGCAGGCGGCTGCACTGGAAGCGGCACCACCGGAGCTGGAACAAAAGCCCCTCTGTCCCAGGCGGCAGCAGTGTCACTCTCACAGGCCCCCCGCGCAGGCGCCTTGGTGGCCGTGTCACACATGTCCCTTTGCTTAGGGCACAGGGATGGTGCCCCAGGCGCCTTCCCCTTGTGCAGCAGGACAGAGGCACTGGCTCCAGAGCAAGCCGATTAGCAACCCGCCATCCCAGCGGGAACAACCACGCACACAGCACATGGCTACTGCGCTAGACCTCTCTGGAGAGGCAAGAATGGGGAACGGAGCCGGGGTAGCCATATGCTCAGACCTCAACCAGATCCCTTTCCTCTCTCCCTCCCTTTGACTGGAATTGCCAAGCACTGTCTGGATGGTATCACATCCACTGCAATACAGAGGGACCTTCCTTTAAACATTAAAGCAAACTCCAAAGAAATGCAGTCCCCCCACCCCAAAATTCTTGGAGAAACAGATCGAATTCAAACAGCTAAAAAGAGCTGCCTCCCACAGCAGTGCAGCAAAGGGGATGACCATAGGAGCTGCATGTACTCCAGGATGCTGACTGAGACAGCAGGCAGATGCCCCACGGTGCTGACGGCTTCTACGGGAGCGGAGTGAGCACATCCCAGCTCTGGGAGGGCCCCACGGCATTTACAAGGGAAGCAGCTGGTGGCTCCGAGTTAGGATTGGGCAAGGAGAGAAGCGTGCCGACAGCGGGTGGGAATAACATGAAAGAAATACAGCTAGCATGAGGAAAAAAGAAAACAGCACAGAAAAGAGAGGAGAGTTGAGAGGAGAGGCACAGATCAGGCACCAAGAGCTGTTCCTGCACGTGGCAGGGACCCAAACTGGAAGCGAGGGGAGCATCCCTTTGACAGATAGGACTTTGCACAGCCACTCTCATCCGAGTGATAGCGCTGCGCAGGTTCCGTGCAGCTGCTTGGAACAGGCACCCTGGAGGCAAGAGAGGCACAACACGATTCAGGCTGCGTTACCTGGTGACGTCGGAGGCTGCGTCTGTCCATGCACATCAGCTCCAAGTCTGCACAGAAGGGGCTGCCACACAGGGGTCTATCACAAGACATCCAGGGATGAAGCAATTCTGATACACTTCCTTAACAGGAAGAAGGGTACATATGATTTCAAGAATTATAAAAGCTGTTAAGTCCTCCTACAATGTTCTCACACTATGAATGTCAATCTATTAATAAACAAAAGCCACATCTGATACTAACTTATGGGGTTGCAGTGCCTGAGATAGCACCTGTGCACTTGCTAAGTAAGAGCTGCCTCCAGAAGCCACAGCAGCCTCTGTGCCCAAGGGGCCTTTGCACAGGATCATCCTGACCAAATAAAGCAGCGCTTCACCAGGCTTCAGGATGGTGCAGATGGTCCTTCCATCACCACCTCCACCCCAGCACCTGCAGGAGGAGCTTCTGAATTTGTGGGAATTCCGATCCACAAGGAAGCTTTTCCCCTCTGCAGAGGCAGCAGCTCCCACACAGGAGGCAGGCGCTCCCTTTAAGACCCTGTAGCGTGGTGTGAGGCCACCAGGACAGACACGCCAGCGGCCCCACTCATGAGGGGCTCTGCTGAGGCCCAGCTCCCACACGGACACCGAGGGGTTGTACCACAGTGGAGGCCCCCACGGGCCCAACAACTCGGGGTGCCGGTGGCCAGCCCGACGCCCCGCGCTCCCCGGGACGCCGCCTCCCCGCCGCCCCCGGGCCTCTCGCCGCTCCGGGGCCCACAACGCGCCTCGCACCTCGGACCTGCCTCCACAGAGCCGCGCAACCACACTGCGCACGCGCGCCGGCCGCTTTGTTCTCCAGCGGGCAGCCGTTGCGCATGCGCCAGACAGCCCTCCGCGCAAGCGCAGTGACCCCCTGCGGGATGAGTTTTGCGCAGCTGGTGACTAATGTCACGCTGCTGCGCATGCGCATGCGCGGCGGCGCGACGGCAGTGCCCCCCCCACGCGTCGCGTTGCCCTTTGGCGGGCCTGACAGTGCGCATGCGCCGCGAGTACGCAGGCGCAGCACGGGGGCGGGGAGGAGGCGGGGCGCCGCGCAGGCGCAGAGGCGCGCGGGGTGG